AATCAACTTAATTGAAATAAAAATCAGTTTTCATTGCAAAAAATTTTCCGCAAAAAAACAGTTAAGTGGTTATTGACCCCGGCTTGCTTACGGTGATCTTCAAAACGCGGAAGGTCTGGGCGGGGAGAAGTTAATCACACCTTTCTCCCAGCTCACCTCGCATACCTGTGCCACGCACTCTTAAAAGAAGACTTTGTACGGGTGGACTGTGGACTCTTTTTCGAGTCTGATTAACCCTTTATTGGTATTTCAAACTGAACAAATTTGAAATTTACTCACCTGGATTTTCCTCAGCTACAGGGCTCGCTTTTGCCTCCTCGATTTCTTTAATGCACTCGGCTTTATCATCCTCCGATTCGCACAAGTTTCTATTTTCCTCTTTGTGAAATAGAAAAAGAAGAAAAAGAGTAGGGTAATCAATTTTTTAAATGAACACATCTCAGCATTAGTTATTACTGCAATTCTAAAAATGTATGGAAAACCTTGATCTGTAGTTCATTTTTTAAAAAAACAAAGCTTCCTTGATCTGTAAACTCAGATGTTTCTTTATAAGTAAGGTACGCACTTCCAAATACTGTCGACACTATGGCCTATTTATAGCCGCCTCCTAACCAATAAAAAAAATTGGGAAGGAGCCCTTTCCCGAATTGTTTGTTTGTTTTAAGGCTGGGGGCGCTGTACACGGGCTATCAGTTCCAGGATTTGTCACACAGCGATGACAGGTTACTGTCAAGAAATAAAAAATGTTTGTTTATTTTGGCACCAGCACCACATAATGTAAACTTAACGTGGCTATCCGTTTTAACGGGTTGTCTGCATTTTTTTTCCTCGGGCACATTACGATAGTGTGGTTCCAGAATCGTGAGAGTACCTTGTTATCAGAAATGCACCTTAACAAAAGAACATCTCCTACGAAGGTAAGTCTTCTTTCGTAAAAACAATCCTTACTTAACTTTTTTTTTCAGAAATACTGCGACAATATGTAAAGCAACTGAACAGAGTTGAATTGAATTTAAAATGAGGTGATACGCAGGGAAGTTTGAAATTTAAGCACCATTTTAAACAGCATTTCTGTGGTGAACCTTCTCGGTAAAAGCTCTTAAATTATTAGCCCCCACTGATAAATGATCAATAACAAGGTATACCGACATTTCTTGTATTTCTTCCGTTCTTCTACAATGCACGCTTTAAGATTCCCTATCTTCACTTTAAATATCATCTAAATTGAAAGAGTAATCCCGAAGTTTGTGCACTTCTTACTAAACTTTGAAAAAGCAATGGCCACGTATGAATTTTGACGATGCTTCACGCTAAATATATGATGTGGTGATTTAATTCCTGGAGGCGCTAGCAGCCCAGGCTTTCAGGAAACTTATATGGTTTCTAAATTTTATTATTTAGAGAACGGGAAAAAAATAGGTCCTAAAATTCTGCTCCCTATCAAAATACGCCATAAAAATTTCGTAAATTGTGTTCATGTTGCATATCTTTCTATTTATTGTATACCACACAATTGAATTGTGCTTTTTGCGTGAGATGATTGGCTAATTCGGAAGTAAATAGCAAGTTCTATTCCCCTCCAAGCAAACGATCAGACAAAACCGCGCGTCAAGAGTTTAATTTCGGTATATTTTAAAGAAATAAAATAGTTTTTTGATATCTGTTTATTTGATTTCCACCTCAGTGTCGGTGAAAACGGTGAATATTTCTATCGCCGCTTTGCGGTTCGGTTAATATCCACCCCTATTCACCCTCACTTCGGTGAATAACTGTTTATTATTTTGAAACTGGTCGAGCGAGATTTAGATTTTAAGTTACCATTGCTGAGTAGGAACTTAAGCGTTTTTATGCCACTTCGAGTTAGTTTTGAACAGGCGACTCAAGAGGGTTTGAGAAGTCTACAGCTTTTTCCTTTTAGAAGCGTAAACCAAGATGGCAAGTTTTTTAAAATTGTTAAAAAAATTCTTGAAAATGATCCTAAAGGCGATCCTAAATGGGTAAATTGAGTTTGCACAAGACGCAATATTAACATATGGAACACCAGTTATAATTTTGAATCTGCAAGCGTAACCGAAAGACAGAATTTCAAGAAATTCTCCGCTTATTGCGATACATCGTCCTATAAATTTAAATGGTGGGTCCCATGGAACTTGGGTCGCCTGTGCTTACGTTTGAAAAGTACTGTAAAACCTTGTAAAGTATGGTAGTGAAATACGTTCGCTTTTTTCATTGATCAGGCTAACAAAAACAAAGATATTCATTTTCGTGGTAAGCACCCTGTCTTCGTTTCACTTACCATTCAAAGCCGGCTTTCCGAAAACATCGATACAGGAGAGAAGCAAGACAAATGTAGCAATGTGGAATGTTATACGTCCCATGGTCGTGAACGCAGGGAAAAGGGAACCGACTCCGCCGCAGAAGCGGCAAACTTGTTGGAACATGGCGCTTAGCAACCACAGCGCTCCCAAAAGAATTTTCGGAATAAATGAAACCAAAGCTGCTGAAAATTAAAACAAGGGTGTCTTTTCGCTGTTTTGACAAGGTTGTGACTTTAAATATTTTCACAGAATCGTGTCGCAAGTAGGATCGCTTTAATGAAAATTTTCGATTCGAACAATCCCGGTGATCAATCGAGTCAAAAGCTGTTCGTTTGCTGTCGGATGACAAAGTCTTCTTCAAAGTAAAGCAACAGAGGAGTCAAATTTGACTGAGTGCGACTTTATTTTTTCCAAAGCATCTCTGGGCGGGCTGCATTCCTCATCTTCTAATCTGATTGGCTAAATACGCGTTCTTAATCGAAGGACCCACTCAAGACCTTGGACGCAGTTTCCCATCAACGAATCTCGCGCTCGGTAAATAACAACTATGTCTTCCTTCTTTTGCTTTATGTTTGTTTATTTGATTTCCACTTTTCGTTTTTTTTTGGGTTGTTTTTCTTTAACTGTGCCATTGCAGCACGGCAAGATTACAGGTAGCCCCTCTGTCCTGGCGTAATCTCCCATGCGGATTCATCAGAAATCAAGCAAATTATGAAATTCCAGGGAAAAATCTCACGCACGGACAACAATATTCTGGTAGAGGATTGGATCATATAAAATCCGCTCCCCTCCCCCCCCCTTAAAAAAGGAATAGACGTCACAAAACTCACAAGCTGATAACAAATTTTGGGATAAATTGTTTTTTACCCCAAAACTTGTATCTTGTGTACTTCAGGTATCTCAGGTCGCTATATCGACCGATAGACGACTGATGTGACAGTCGATCGATAGCAATCCACGGTTCGTCGATTGCTCGATAGTGATCGGTCGCCCGTATTTTACGATCGGTCGCCCATATTTACGATCGACAAAACGAAATCCATTGCAGTAAAAATATGAAGTTTCCAAGGTCACCTTGGATGGCGAGATCGAATAAGAGCGAAGAGGAACTGATAACATCAGGTTATATATATGTTATTTGCCGGCTGGGAGGTCCGTATGGTGAAAAACTGTGACCGAAGTATTGAAAATACTGCCCGAGGCCGTAGGCCGAGGGCAGCATTTTCAAGACCGAGGTCACAGTTTTTCACCATACGGACCGACCCTTAGCCGGTAAATAACATATTTATTGTTTTTAAACTTGACGAAATTCTTTCCGAAAGAACCCGAATGACTTATGGCCGTAAATACGGCAAGATCTTCCATAAACTGAACAATTTTTGAGTGAGTAAATGGTAGTTAAAATAGAGGTGATGCAAATTTAAGAGAGATGCCTCAGCGAAACATTTTCATTTCCGTAACGATAAAGGTGATTTAAAAGGCTTCCAAACAAACTTTGAAACATTATTTTTACAAGTATCTGTCACAATCTGACACCTGTCAATTAGAGAGCGCGCAAGAAAAAAAATCGTAGGAGCATTTGAAAACCAATAGAACTAGTTTGGCAAGGCCTGTCACGACAATGTTTTCTTAAAAATCAGTTAAT